CACAGAGCTGGCTTTAAGCCGCAAACTTAAAGGTCATTAAAAGGCTTACAAAGGTGGGCTTTAAGCCGCATAGTTTTGGGCCCACAGCCCCTTACAAGGTAGGAGGAAGATGAGGGGGAAAGGGAGGGGAGAGGAGAGCATGAGGGATCAGGAAGGTCGAATCGGGGGAAGAACAGAGAAGGAGAGTGTAGCCAGTCTCTAAGTAGGCATGGCTATAGGTACCCAAGGCATTTGGACGGCAATGATTGGTAACTTACCTCCACCTGAAAAGAGCTTGAGTTTAGCTCTCTACAGGATCCTCTTTGTCCCGGGCTGTCTTTTCGCCGTCCGACAGCTGACCGTACTTCAGGTCCCTGTTCAGGCGCCACTTGACCCGTCCCGCAGGTCCAGTCATTCAGGGTTCTGAAGGGGTGCTGCCTGAAAGAGTCATGGGCGAGAGAAAGAAAGGAGACCAAGCAGCGAAAGAAAGGACAAGAGTCCGTCTGTGCAATGTCAAGGTCTCGATTTATTGGGGCTTAGAGTGGGCTTAAACAGCCCTGCAACAATAGAATTGGGTGGGAATAACGGAAGGAACATCTGGTATTTGCTGGGGCTGGAACATTCTTCTTATCAGCCGGAACATCTAGTGGTCTTCCTTGGAACAGCGAACAGAAAAGCCCTAGACCCTTTCTTGGAACAGAAGCAGTTAGCAGTTCCACTTGGCCAAATCGTATCTAATTACAGGTTACAGGAGGCTCTCAGAGCTGGCTTTAAGCCGCAAACTTAAAGGTCATTAAAAGGCTTACAAAGGTGGGCTTTAAGCCGCATAGTTTTGGGCCCACAGCCCCTTACAAGGTAGGAGGAAGATGAGGGGGGGTAGGGAGGGGAGAGAAGAGCATGAGGGATTAGGAAGGTCGAGTCGGGAGAAGAACAGAGAAGGAGAGTGTAGCCAGTCTCTAAGTAGGCATGGCTACAGAGCTGGCTAGGTCGCTCTGTAAGTAAGGCTTTTCCCTATTAAATACCCTTATATTTCTACCTGACTCCGTATTGGTAATTTCCCACTATAGTATAGCAAGGAAAGAGATACCTTAATAGAGGGAGCCATTGTGGGCTTAACGAGAAATCTGGCACTAGGGAAATCTCCAGGGATCCACAAGGATGACCCCAACTAAGAATCTAAGCAATAGTGGAGAAGCTACCTTAAATGCCCTTCCCCGATAATGAGATTGATGACTACCTTATATGCCATCCTAGAGCCTCCATCCAGTAGCTGATGGAAGCAGAAGCAGAGATTCACAGCTAAGCACTGAGCAGAACCCCTAGAATCCAGTTGTAGAGAGGGAGGAGTGATGAGCAAAGGGGTCAAGACCATGCTGGGGAAACCCACAGAAACAGTGACCTGAGCAAGTGGGAGCTCATAGACCCCAGCCAGATAGCTGGGGAACCAGCAAAGGACGGAACCAGGCCCCCTGAATGTGGTGTCAGTTAGGAGGCCTAGGCAGTCTATGGGGCCCCAGTATTTATCCCTAGTGCATGAATGGACTTTGGGAGCCCATTCCCCCATGGAGGGATACTCTCTCAGCCTAGATACACGGGGAAGGCCTAGGTCCTGCCCCAAATGATGTGACAGACTTTGATGATCTTCCATGGAAGGCCTCAACCTCCCTTGGGAGTGGATGGGGGGTATAGGATGGGGGGGGGTGGGGGCATAGGAGGATGGGAGGGAGAGTAACAATAAGTTTTTCTGCCAAGCCGCCTGAGTCCTGATGCCACATGGGTGCTCCTTAATGTCGTGGCAGGCGGAACTCGGGCAGCCTGGCGGAAAGTACCCACGTGGCAGCAGAGCTCGGGCAGCTTGTCAGAAAGACTTATTACAGAACTGAGATTGATACGTAAAATAAGATTGTTTCTAATTTAAATAAAAATTTATAAATAAAAAAAGAAACAGCTGACCTGAGCAAGGAGGAGCTCACTGACCCCAGTCTGACAGCTGGGGAACCAGCATAGGACTAAATGTGGGTGTCAGTTGGGGGATCTGGGCTGTCTAGGGGGCCTCTGGCAATGGAACCAGTATTTATTCCTAGTGCACAAATGGACTTTGGGAGCCCATTCCCTATGGAGGGATACTCTCTCAGCCTAGATACACGGGGAAGGCCTAGGTCCTGCCCCAAATGATGTGACAGACTTTGATGATCCCCCATGCAAGCCTCACCCTCCCTAGGGAGTGGATGGGGAGGATGGGATAGGGGGTGTGGGGAATGGGAGGGTGGGAGGGAGAGGGAACCAGGATTGGTATGTAAAATAAGATTGCTTTTCATTTAAATAAAAATTAATTTAAAAAAAATTGTTTCTAGAAATGCCGTGTTTACAGTCCCTTTTCAGGTGACCTCGTTGGCCATAATTAAAACATTTGACATTTCGATTTTTCTTTAACCCTCTTGAAATCACCTCTCCCATCCATGTATCATCCTCATGACTGTGAACTTGAGTATTAATTGTAGCTCAGATCCATCCTCCAAAGGTGCTGACCTTGCAGTTAAAGCCTAATTGTGCATTAGCATTTTCAAAAGCCTAGTTTCAATTATTATTTTTCTAGCTTCTGAATCTCATATTCTTCTATTTACTGCTGATGACAGTCTGTAAGAAATCTGTGAAGGCTTCCCTTGGGCCCTGTATAACTTTTATAAATGATTCAACTTTCTTTACTGCTTTTCCAATTCTTTCCCAAGCATTCAAAGCTGCAGCACCCAGAAACCCAGGAGGTGGTCATCATATAGACATTGCCTTTCTAACGTATCATAATCTCCTTCTCCAAGAATTTGATCTTGGGAGATACCCATACCTCTTGCTTTGGCCTTTTGTTCAATATTCTCAGCCTCTGCTCTGAACCTGGAAGCCCACTGTAATTGTGATCCATGCTCTAGGACAGCTTTAATCAAATCTATCCAATTTATAGGAATAACCCTGTTACAAACAGACCACGTGTTTATCATCACAAACTATGAATAGATGCCATATGAGACTCCAGCTTCCTTAAATTTCCCTAAATATAATATTGTCACAGGCTTCCAAGTAGCTCTTATAGAACTTCTTTCATTTGGCATTTCCTGTAAGGTTACTGTATATATTAAAGCTGGTTCTCTTAAGATCTTAGAGTTTTCCTTTTTAACCTTAAAATTCAATGCTGAATTTGGTTCTCCTTATAATTCCTCAGTCTGGATTTGAATATCTCTATAATCTGTTTTAATAAGTTTTTCTAAGGCCTGCATCTTAGTATTCATATCAACCAACTTTTTTAGCAATGAACCAAGAACTATCAAAATGAAAACAAAGATTATGAAAATGATAGTTAACAGTAGGTCAATTCTGTTCCATTTTTAAACTATCCATTATGTAATCATAAGGGACATAATTCTCTCCATTTTAATAGTGTTTTCCATTTTTTAGTGTGGGGGAAAAAAAAACTCTCTTTTTTAACTAATACCTTCCTTTAAGAATTTCCAATTGTTGAGCGTTGGTGGTGCATGCCTTTAATCCCAGCACTTGGGAGGCAGAGGCAGGCAGATCTCTGTGAGTTCAAAGCCAGCCTCCAGGCTGGTCTACAGAGCGAGTTCCAGGACAGGCTCCAAAGCTACACAGAGAAACCCTGTCTCAAAAAAACAAACAACAGAAAAAAAGAATTTCCAATTGACCTACCAAATCTGCCAACAAGTTCAGTGAACTGTGAGGCATAGCATGTCTGAATTGGAAAACTAGCTTGTAGCCATGAGCTTGGGTCTCAGCCCAAGGAAAGTGTCTGTAGGGAAATCCCTAAAGTTTCCCGAGTTTGGGTGGCAGCTGAAGACTATTTTGAAAAGCTTCAACCGAAAAAAAATCCCACACTTGCTCAAAGATTTGAGTAGAAAACTTAGATGGTCAGGCAGGGACTCAGGCAGGAGGGACTCAGGTGTGAGTTCCACTTGCAGCTCAGGCTTGGGCCTGGGCCGGTGGCCTCAAAGTGGCTTTTTCATGAATTCATACTTTAATGTTGGGCGCCAAGTGTAACATGAAAAATAAAAGACCCAGGGTCAGATTTTGGGGTTCAAACTTCAAGTTGAAGATCAGAGAAGCAAAGCAGCCAAGGCAGTAGATCTTACCTCTACCAAGCTGAAATGGCAATCCAGTCTCCACAAATCCTCAGAGGCAAAAAGCTCTGAATTCCTGTCTCCTCTTCCTTTTATTCCTTTCTCTGCCCAGTCTTATCACTCTGGTCTCCACCTCCCTAATGCTGGGATTAAAGATGTGTGATCCCAAGTGCTGGGATCAAAGGCATGATCTCTGTTACTCTTCACTCTTGAACTCGGAGAGATCCATCTGCCTATCTCCCGAGTCCTGGAATTAAAGGTGTGTGCCACTACTGCCTAGTTTCTATAGCTAACTAGTGTGGCTGGCTTTGCAAACTGATCTCCAGTGGCTTTATTATATCATAAACAATATGTCACCACAGTTGGGTTTTTTCTGTATTTAAAACTATAACATTCTTTGTTTTTTCTCTCCTTCTCTCTCAGTGCTTCCTTCTCTTTTCCCCAAGTCTCTATTTCTGTAAGTCCTTCTACCTAAATATTTTTGGTGTAAAGTTGTTAATTCTCCATTTTGAGAAGAATTTGCATTTGTTCTTGGATTATTCTGCCTATGTGTTTGATGTTAAAATGCATTACTCATTTTTAATTGATTAATTTATGTTATCTTAAATTTATGTGTATGAGTGTTTTGCTTCATGTATACATGTGTACCCCATGTGTGTGCTGCCAATGGGAGTCAGAATAAGACATTAGATCCTCTGTAACTGCAGTTACAAATAGTTTCCAGGACTGGTAACTGAGCCTGGGTCCTCTGTAAGAGCAACAAGTACTCTTAACATCTGAGCCATCTCTCCAGACCCTGTTTGTTTCTTCTTGGTGTTTAATTTTTTTGAGTTCTTTACATATTCTAGAGATTAACCCTCTATCAGATGAATAGCTAGTGTTGTAGTTTGAATCAAAGAGGCACTATTAGGAGGCATGGCTTTGTTAGAGTAAGTGTGGCCTAGTTTGAGGAAGTGTGACTCTTGGGGCAAGCTTTGAGATTTCAGATGCTCAAGCCAGGCCCACTGTCACTCTCTCTTCCTGAAGCCTTTGGATCCAAATGTAGAACTCTCAGCTACTTCTCCAGCATGCCACCATATCAAATGCCATGATAATGGACTGCATCTCTGAAATGTAAACAAGCCCCCAATTAAATGTCTTCTTTATAAGAGTTGCCATGGTTATAGTGTCTCATTACAGCAATAAAAACCCTAACACAGCTGGTAAAGATTATTTTTCCTATTGTAGGATGACATTTCACTCAAATAATGGTGTACTTTGCTGTACAGATTTTTAATTTCATGGGGTCCCATTTGTCAGTTGTTAATTTCAATGCCTGTGCTGATGGGGCTCTGTTCAGACAGCCCTTTCTTGCACCAATGAGTTCAAACATGTTCTCTACTTTCTCTTTAATGAGATATCAGACCTTAAGTTGAGGTCCTTGCTCCATTTGAAGGTGTTCTATGCAAAGTGAGAGATAAGGATGTAGTTTCATGCTTCTACTTGTAGCTCTCCAGTTTTCTCAGCTCCATTTTTTGAAAAATAAAAGTCTTTTCTCCAATATGTATTTTGAGCATCTTTGTGGAAAATCGGGTAGCTTTAGGAGTGTGGGCTTATATATGGGTCCATGTTATTGATCTACATGTCTGTTTTTATAAGCGTCCCATATTGTTTTGTTGCTATAACTTCATATTATAACTTGAAGTCAAGAATGATTACGCCTCCAGGGGTGTTTTTATTCTTTAGGATTGTTTTGGTCACTCTGAATCATTTGTGTTCCCATTTGAAGTTAATATAATTTTTCAATTCCTATGACAAAAAAATGTGTTAGAATTTTGATGGGGATTGAATTGAATCTGTATATTGCTATTGATAGGGTGACCATTTTCACAGTATTAATCATACCAATTCATGAGCATGGGCAGTCTTTTCATCTTCTGATGTCTTCAATATCTTTCTTCAATGTCTTAAATGCTTTTAGTGTGCATGTCTTTCATTCAATATTCTTTGAGGCTATTTGTAAATTTGATCATTTTCCTGATTTCTTTCTCAAAATATTTGCCATTGGTATACAAAAGGGCTAGTGATTATTTTGTATTCTGCTACCTTGCCGAATGTTTTATAAGCTTTAGATTTCTGGTGTGGGCATTAGGGTCTCTTATGTATATAATCATGCAATCTACTAATACTCTGAGTTCTTCTCTTCTATTTCTTCTTTTGTCTCCTCTTGTTTTATTATTCAAGCTAAGATTTCAAACACAGTGTTGAATAAGAGTGGAAGGAGTGAACACCCTTGCCTTGTTCCGGATTTTAGTACAAAAGCTTAAAGTTTAGCTAAATCACCAATTAGTATGATGTTGACATAGATTTTGTTGTATATTCTCTTTATTGTTACATATGATATTTTATCTAATATACTTTCTCACTGCAAATGAAGGCAGACTCACACATAATTGTTAATCTTTAGACAAACTTGAAATATTTTTCAGGTTTTTTAAGTATGCTGTTATTGTTACTCCACCAATTATTTTTTCTATAAACTGTAGAAAAACCATGTTTGTTTTTTATAAAGATTTTATTTATATATTATGTATACAATATTCTGCTTCCATGTATATCTGCACACCAGAAGAGGGCACCAGATCTCATAACCAATGGTTGTGAGCCACCATGTGGTTGCTGGGAATTGAACTCAGGACCTCTGGAAGAGCAGTCAGTGCTCTTAACCTCTGAGCCATCTCCAAAAAACCATGTTTTTAAACTTAGACTTCTTGTTAGTTTGGATCTAGAGTGTCCCTTAAAGTTTCATTTGTTGAAGGATATGTTCCCATTGTTGGTATTATTGAAAAGAAATGAAAATTATTGCAAGTGGAACCAATGTAGGCAAGTGCTAATTAAATATGCATTTGAAGGCTTTATTCATTTTGTTCTTGGCCTTATCCTATTTCTCTTCTCTTCTTCTCTTAATCCTCCTATTTTTCTTCATTTCCCTATTCCCTCCCCTCTCTTCTTTTCTCCCTCTCTCCCTCATCATCTCTCCTGTCCTCCCCCATGTCTTTCTCTCCATGCCTATCAACCTGGCACCATGAAGTGAGCAGCTTTCCCCCAGCACACCCTTCCACCACCATGTACTATCTTCCACAAACCTTGAAGTAATAGACCCAAGTGGCCAGAGACTGAAATTGATGACAAATCTACAATACATCGTCCATCTTTAACTTTCCTAAGCATTCTGTCACAACAATTAGAGGATGGTTCATCTGCATCCTGTCTGGAAACTTCGTAGGTATCTGTCATCATAGAAATACCTTTGAAGGTTTATTTTACTGTTATGATTTCCTTTAATTTTTACTGAATAATGTATGTATCGGGTATCAGTTGAGTATGGCAATTTTAAATGTAATACAAGTTTTCTAATTGTTATTTGCTGAAAATGTTTGCAATATTCAGAGTTATACTGGATCATCATAAATCTGGGTGATAGTTTCCTTATCTTGTGTCTTGATCATATTCCAGTTCTTGAAGTTTCTTAAAACTGTGTCACTTTGATGAAAGTATCTTTCTGCTTTGCTTGTTTGGAGAATCTCCCTCTGCAACACATACAGCAAACATCAAAAACATGTAACAGTGAAACTAAGAGGGCACAGAGAAAAATGGCATCCCTTGTACTCTTTAGAGCAAAGTCATCCTTCACTCAATTGCTTTGAAAACATCCATTATTTCTGCCAAATGATTTGAGTACATCTTGTGACATAAAAGGCCAACCACCCTGGTAACCTCTCTGTGTGATGGCTGATCTTGGTTGTCAACTTAACTTACCTGAGAAGAGAGAACTTTGGTTGAGGAATTGATTCATCAGATTAGCCTATGGCATGTCTTTGGAGGATTTTCTTGATTGCTAATTAATATTAGAGGGCCCAGCCCACTGTTGGTGGTACCATCCTTAGACAGATAGCCCAAATTCTATATGAAAGGTAGCTGAGCAAGCCAGAAGAAGCAAACTAGTAAGTAACATTCCTTGATTAGTTTCTTCTTAGCTTCCCTCAGTGACAGATTACAAACTAAAATAAACTAAAATAAACCTTTTTCTCCTTAAGTTGCATTTGGTTATTGTTTTATCACAGCAGCAGAGAAGCAAACTAGGACACTTTCTACCTTGGTTATCACAGTATTTTCCAAGGAGATTTAAGTGTGGGAAGGCAATGGAAATACACCAAAAGTTTTGAAATCTTGCCTATTTTTTCACATTCTATGATCCCTTTGTTGGTCATTCCCTTCTTCTCAGTCATGAAGTCTTTCATTCCTAATGAAACAGATAATCTGAATCTGATATCAAAAACAAGAGTCCTTCTTTCAGATATATGTCATCTGTGGCAGGTCCTTTAGACCTATATGTAATTTCCTTTAAGTTATTCAGTAATCATTGCACACTCAAGAATATAGGTACTATCAGTTTTAGACAGCTTACCAGCACTTACTAGGTATGAGAGATGAAATGGCATTTGTATTTGAACATGTTTGTGAAATATCATCAAGGATATGTGTTTTGCAGAAACAAGGTCTCTGAATCTCTCAATACAGTATATGTAGAGCTGGTCTTTGTTATCTAGAGACTTTCCAGGCACAACTGAAACCATTGTATGAAAGGATATACAAATAGTTCCTATACCAAACACAATTTCTATGTGTTATAAAAAAAGAAAATAACCTACCTAGTTATCATCCTGACTGGAACAGAGTAGTTTGTGAGACAAGGCTATTTAACCTTCCTTGTCACAGACCATTAGCACACAAGTCCTATAAGGAGCAGGGTGGTACTCACTCATATTCCACATCTTGTATGGAGTCAGGCAGAGGCTGATTCTTGGTCTCAGGAAGAAGAAGGACAAAAAGGCTACCAATGATGGGGAAGACCCCGTAGATGATCCAGGGTAAGGAGTCAAAGTATGTTACGAGTATCATAAACAGAGGAGACAAGGCTGCCCCAATATTTCCAGAAATTCCAATGATTCCTAAAGCAGTTGCCCTTGAGCACAAAACAGAATGCAGAAATAACTGCATAAGGATGCACATTAGAAATTTGTGACTTAGAATCTTGCATTACTTATGAAAATCAGCAGTGTATTTAGGCATAAGAATGTTGATAATTTTGCTCTTGTTTTTCACATTTCTATTTAATTTGATGGTGTCTTTTCTCAAGGTCACAATATTAAAATACTCATTTATCACTTACAAAACCATACACAGAGGAATAAATACTACATGTTTTCTCTACTTTGATAATCAGAGATTTTAGCTTTTATGTATATATGTATATGGGGTGGAAATATAGGTAGAGACTAGGAAACTCGAGTGGGGACAAAGAGGGAAAAAGAGCAGCTCTTTAGTGAGAAAGAGATTGAAGCTATCCATGTGACACAGGAAGAGAATAGTGGCTCGAGTGGGGACAAAGAGGGAAAAAGAGCAGCTCTTTAGTGAGAAAGAGGTTGAAGCTATCCATGTGACACAGGAAGAGAATAGTGGTAATTAGAGGGATGGAGGTGACTAACAGAAGGGGATTTGAGGGACAAAAGTAGCAGAGCAACCAGAACAGCATAGATGTGAAAATGTATAATAAGCTTATTATTTTTCAAGCTAACTTTTTAAAACTTACTTTTTAAAAGTAAGAAAAAATAAAGTGGTATTTCCCATGCCTTTTGCCTTTTCTTGGTTCCAAATATTATCTTAGATTTAACCAGTGGTACATTAGTAGACTTAACAATAACTAACAAAAAGGTAACTTTGAGGAAACTTTGGACATACTTTGTTGTTAATGTCACAATCAATTGTTTTAAATAATTATCCAGTCCATGAGAGTGAATAAGCTAAGAAGACAAGATGACTCAGAAAGTAAAAGTGCCACCAAGCCTGATGGCTCAATTCCAGTCCCTGAGACCAGAAGAGACTCAACTCCTGAAAGTTATCTTTTGACCTCTACTGACACATGGTAGCAAGCACATACCTGCATAAACACCTATCATACACACACATGCACACACAGTAAAATAATTGAATAATTAAAGGTAAATATCAAAAATATTTAATAACTGATGAGCTAAGAAAAGTTTGTTCTGACCCTAACAGTGAACCTTGAGTCTTGTACCTGATTGTGGTGGGGAGTAGCTCATTTGAATGCACAAGAATACTGCAAGCAGAGATAAAAGAAAGTCCTCCTTCCAAAGTTGCCAAAACCGTACGCAGGATCTTCATTTCTAGAAAGAAGACAAGGATCGTCATGAAATCTGAGCTGTGGAAATTTGTACTCCCTGAATCCCAAATGGAAAACACCCTTACTAGGGATTAGTAAACATGTAAACAGTGTAGAGAAAGGGTACTGAGGCAGAATTCCCTAGTGACTCATACACTGAAGAAGGTGACCTGTCTGCATATATAAGTTTATAGAGAATCAAAGCTTCCAAAAAGTTGGATTCATATGACTTAAATCTCTTGATAATTGCTTAAGAAGTAGAAAGCTGGGTGAATTAACAAGGAGCGCACTTTCATCTTTTCTATCCAGTGTCTCAGCAATTTCTCATGCAGAATGTAGGAATATCATGGAGAAATGACTAAGGACTATACACTTATTCAGATTCTCAGGAAATTTAAGTCCACAATTGATGTGCAATACTGCAGAATTGTGTCATGAAAATACAGAAGTCCTATGGTGGTGTGTCTCAAGATTCAAGAATAAGGACTGCACTAGGAAAAATGTCAGACTTTGGAAACCACTCATGGAAAGTTTCATAAAGTCATTTTCTACTCAATTCAGTATCATGTAAGATTCAAACTTTGTATTAAGCCTTCAAATGAGTCAAAAAAGAAAACTTACGGCATTCAATTCAAGAGCATGACCACCTGTGTACCAGTTATTACTTAAGTCCATTTGATTCAGTGGAGTCAATTCTAACAGTCTTAATGCATAATCCATTCATACTTTCCTGTGCTGCAATATAAGTGGTGTTTATCTTCTTGATATAACTCTCCAAATGAGGATTGTATTTGTGATCCCATGTTATGAGGCTCATAAGTTCTAACTCTACACAGAGTTCAGAAAATAAATTGTTACTGAAGATGAAGTAATGAGACAGAGCTAGAAAGAGGAAGAAGTGATGTGGTCATTTTCAATCAGATTATAAGGTAAGGTCCTGCATGGACTAACAACTTGGAAATGTACAGTTTCTATGTGCGTCTTGAATATAACAGACATTCATCTACTAGAATCAAATATGACTGACTATTGGCTCTTCTCTGGACATCTTAATAAAATAATGTGCCCTAAATGCCCAGATTGGTCACAAGAGATCTTTAGAATGTATTTTGTTCTGATTTCATATGTGGGCCTAAAAGTTCAGAGGGAAGGGAAGGAGATAGTTGTTTTGCTCACCCTGTGTTCTTTCCTCACCTTGAGGCACAAATGCTATGGCCAAAAAGGAAATTCCAAACAGGGATATGACAAACAGTTGACTTATTTTACGGCCCATGTGATTCAGTAAAAAAGTTCCAAGTAAACTGGATAGGATGCTGATAATACCGTTAAGACACAGTGATAGGAAGGCATTAGTCTTCAGGTACTGGAAGTTTAACATCAGGCCAAACATAGACACCCATGTCATAAATCTGTAAAGAACAAAGAAAGTTGCATCACGAGTTTGAAGTTGATGTCAAAGCAGTCAGTTTTAGTTGTTAAAATATAAAGGTACCTGTTTCTGCTTTGATCAGATACTGGATAAAGGCTTTAGGAATGACAACCAAGGTAGTCATCAATCTCATTATAGAGGAAGGGCATCTCCACCACTGCCTAGATTCTTAGTTGGGGTCATCCCTATGGATCCCCTAATATTTCCCCTGTGCCAGACCTCTCTCCAAACCTATACTGGCTGCCTTTCTATCAAGGCATCTCCTTCCTTGCCCTCCTCTATTCCTCCCCTGTCTCATTCCTCCTGTTCTCCCCCCCTTCTTTCCCTTCCTCCTCTCCCCACTGACCCCACCTGTGCTCCCAATTTGCTCAGGGGTTCTTATCTGATCCAAGCAGAAGCAGGCACCCAAAGCTAAATACTGAGCCATACTCCTGGAATCCAGTTGCAGAGTGGAGGCACCCAAAGCTAAATACTGAGCCATACTCCTGGAATCCAGTTGCAGAGAGGAAGAAGGGATGAGCAAAGGAGCCAAGATGGTGCTGGAGAAACCCGCAGAAACATTTGACCTGACCTAGTGAGAGCACAAAAACCCAAGTCGTAAAGCTGGGGAACCAGAGTTGGACCAAACCAAGCCCTCTGAATGTGGGTGCCAGCTAGGAGGTCAGGGCAGTCTATGGGACCTCTAACAGTGGAGCCAGTCTTTATCCCTAGAGCACAAAAGGACATTGGGAGCCCATTCCCTATGGAGGGATACTATTGCAGCCCAGATATGGGAAGGAGGGCCTGTGCCCTCCCTCAAATGATGTGATGGACTTTGATGGTCCCCAGTGGAGGGGCTCACTCTCCCTGGGGAGTGGAGGGCGTGGGTTGGGGGGGGTCGGTGGGGATCGTGGGAGGCTGGGAGGGGGAGGGAATGGGAGATTGATATGTAAATAAGAGTGCTTCTAAAATAAAATAAATCACACACACACACACACACACACACACACACACACACACACACACATCACTGTTAGGTCCCCACCATGTCAGTGCTGATAGCAATGACTCAATTCCCACCTGAGCTGGGGTTTGCTAGGAATTAGAAACCTACTGCATTTCTCAAAAGCCCTTAAAGTCTGACTGAATGTTCCTAACTGTCAGTATCTCACTTGCCTGACAGGGTCCCCATTTTAACTGTCTGGCTGCTCCATCTTGTGAGCAGCACCCCCTGCCATCCACCCACACAAAACCCAACAAACATCGGTACCTCCTTCTGTCCTCTACTTTCTAGGCAGCTTGACACGCTTTGTACTTAATCGGTTCTTTCTATCTGTCAAACATGGTTGTCTATGGTTGTTTCTCTTGCCTGCTTACACTTAGTGCCAAACCCAGTAGAGAGCTGTGTCCACCTGTGAAGAACACGTTCCTCCTTTAACCAAAACCAAAACTGCCATCTGGGCTCTTCCATGGCACAGATGACTTGCCTCTGCCATGCATCACATTTGACTCCAAATTCTCAGTTTCAGTTTTCCTGAATGATTACCCATCTCTCCTCACAGACCAGGGAAAGTGCTCTTCTCTCGAACAGTTTCAGATTTTTCTCTCACACTCCCTGAAGCCTGCTGCAAACATCGCACTGTACTCCAAGCAGTCTGTCACACTCTCCTCGGCACCCTTCACTTGGTTGGAGATAACCTTCTGTTAAAATCTATGAATTTGCCCTTTCCGCCAACCGACCCACAAACACCCACTCTTCCATACCTTTCCGCCCACTGATCCACAAGGAGTGAGGAGACTACCAGGAGAGGCAAGACCATCCAGAGTTGCCGACATTGAAGTCCTGGCCCACACACACACACCACAGGGTCACAAGAGGAGATAGAGACCCCACCTGCACCCACTAGAAGAAGATACAGGAAGAAGACAGAATAAGATTTCACTCAACAACAGAAAGACCAATATGACGCCACCAGAATCTAGGGACTCCACTCCAGCAAGATCTGAAAAGACAAACACAGAGCATGAAGATGAGATGGACCTCAAAAAATTATCTCTGCAAGATGATAGAGACCTTTAAAGAGGAAACAAGAAAATCCCTTAAAGAAATAGAAGAAAAAGCAAACAAAAAATTACATGAAATGGAGGAAAAGACAAACCAAAAAATTCAAGAAATAAAAAAATCTCTTAAAGAATCTAAAGAAACCCAAGAAAAAACAACCAATCAAGTGAAGGAAGTTCTTGAAACAGTTCAAAGCATGAAAGCTGAAATAGACACAATAAAGAAAACACAGAATGAGGCCATGCTGGAAATGGAAAGGCTGAATAAACGATCAGGAACTAAAGATGTGAGTACAACCAATAGAATTCAAGAGACAGAAGAGATAATCTCAGCTATTGAAGACTCGCTAGAGGATATACATTCATCAACCATAGAAAACCTCAAGTCCAACAAATCCCTAACACAACATATCCAGGAAATATGGGACACCGTGAATAGACCAAACCTAAGAATAATAGGTATAGAAGAAGGTGAAGAAACACTGCTCAAAGGTACAGAAAACATATTCAACAAAATCATAGAAGAAAACATCCCCAACCTACAGAAGGATATGCCTATGAAAGTACAAGACGCTTACAGGACACCAAACAGACTGGACCACAAAAATAAGTCCCCCCTGACACATAATAATCAAAACACCAAATCTACAGAATAAACAAAATAATCAAAACACCAAATCTACAGAATAAAGAGAAAATATTAAGAGCAGCAAAGGAAAAAGGCCAAGTAACTATAGGCAAACCAATCAGAATTACACCCAACTTCTTAATGGAAACTTTGAAAGCCAGAAGGTCTTGGATAGATAACCTGCAAGCACTAAGAGAGCAGGGATGTCAACCCAGGCTACTGTACCCAGCAAAACTCTCAATTACTATAGATGGAGAAAACAAGATATTCCACGACAAAAACAGATTTAAACAATACATATCCACAAATCCAGCACTACAGCAGGTTCTGGAAGGAAAACTCCAACCCAATGAACATAACTACACTCACAAAAACACAGGCAATAGATAATCTAATTTTACCAAACACAAAAAG